TCTTATTTTCGGGGAAACAGGGTATTTCTAGAAAATCATAGAGAACTTTATGAAACAAAAATATCAAAGCGTGGAGCTCTTGGTTCTCAGCTTAGCCTCCATCAGGTCTCTATCCTTCTGAAAGCAGCATTTCCATCTCTCTAACCTTTCTCTGAAGAATTCTGTTCTCTTTGATATATACCATGTCACGTCAAGACAGTCGTTTTGACATCCGCAAGGGACTCAAACCGTGTTCCTTTGAAATGTTCTCTGAATTTGGGAACCAAGGGAAGTCTGAAGGAGCAAGATCAGGGCTGTGGGTGGATAGAGTGGATTTTCTGAAGAAATCTCATCGGACTGCCTTTGTTACTCTTGACGAATGAGTAGGTGCACTGTCGTGACAGAAACATATTTCTCAGCACAATTTTCATGACCTTTTTCTCACCAATTCAGTTTTTCATTTCCTTAAAAAGGCTTCATAATAAGCCTCCATGGTCAGCCTTCAAGAAAATCCATCAAGATTATCCTTTGCAATAAAGCACAATTGTCATCAATCTTCTGAACTGCCCTCTTGGTTTGGACTTGAACTAGCCCGCAGAGCCCCTCAGAAGTCACTGTTTAGAATGAACTTTGTTTAAGGCACCATAACAAGACTAAAAAGGGCCCTGGTTGACACAGTGGTTACACGTTGGGCTGCCAGTCACCAGGTCACAGGTTCTAAACCACTAAGTGCACTGCAGAAGAAAGGGGGGGGGGCTTTCTACTCCTGTAAAGAGTCAGCGTCTGGCAGCCGTAACTGTAAAGAGCTACAGAAACTCACAGCAGCGGTTCCAGCCTTCCTCCAGGGTTGCTTTGAGCCGATTAATTCGGTGGCAGTGAGCTTGGCTTGGGTTTGGAATAAGACTACAAGCCCCGCCTTAGGAGCAGTGGGTTACAGGTCAGGCTGCGGTTCAAAACCACGAGCTGCTCCAAAGGAGCCTGATGAGGCTTTCTGCTCCCATAAAGATGCCCTGTCTCGGCAGCTCACAGAGGCCCTTCTACTCTGTAGCGTCACTGTGAGTCAACATTAATGGCAGTAGTAAGGAACAAGACCAAGGCAAGTATGCTACTGAGAGAAGTTTATCTGCACCCATCCACTAATCCCAGAGGCATATTTAAACACTTCAAAAGAAAGAAAAAGAAACCCACACATCTACGAGCTCGTCTTGGATGAGACCAATTGCACCTGTGTCTTGACGTACCGGGTCTGTACATTCTTTTCTTAGCAGCGCAAGCAGCTGTGACAACCAGCTAGAAATGCCTCTTGATCCCAGCCCTGCTGTCTGTCTGTCTGCGCCAGCACTGGCTGCCATCGCTCCAAGGCCCCTGCCACTTAGGAAAAAGGCCATTTGTTTTGCCGTGCGTGTTCATGTGAGAACAGCACCCAGACCTACGTGTGTTTCATTTCCAGGGAGATGTGCATCCAGCAGGACGGGCGAGTCCATCTCACTGTTGTCTACTTTGGAAAAGAGCAGATGAACGAGGTCAAAGGAATACTTGAAAACACGTCCAAGTGAGTATGACCTGGAACCGCAGGAAGGAGTCGCAGCAAAGCGACAAGTACACATCCGAGGCGGGCACTGGTGCTTCCTTTTAGTGTCCTTTAACACTAAGGTTGGGAGGTTGATTGGTGGCTGGCCACGTGTAGGTCCCCTCCTTTCCTGGGAACCCACTCGCCTGACGCTGGTCCTCATTGTGCAGGGGTAATGACTTTGGCAGTTGAGATAATCTGCCCTGAGCAGCCAGGGTAGGGAGGACGGGCTGCTTGGAGCTTCTGCATGACTGGACACCATCACTCTGAGCTCCACAGCGTTTGGCACTTGACATTGCAGAGTGAGAATTAGGACGAACAAGACTGTCTGCTGAGTCCCGTCTCAGTCACAACCTGTAAGGCTAAGAGTGATACCCGTGTTTAAATCTTTTCCCCTTAGCAAATGGTCTCCCCACTTGCCTGGCATTCATTTCATGCCTCTGGAGAGACTATTGAGAAGCCAGAAGATATGACCAGGGCAGGATCCTTGATTAAATCTACTCATTTAAATAGAAATTGAGCAAAGACTTTAGGCCTAGGTTGTGATCAATTGCACGAAGTCCTAGTAGCACAGTGCTTACAAGTTAAGCTGTCATCCTCAAGGGCTGGCTGTTTGAAACCAGCAGCCGCTCCATGGGAGACAGGGCTTTCTACTCCCATGAACAGTAAACTCACAGGGGCAGTTCCACCCTGTCCTGTAGGGGTCACTAATGAGTCAGCATCAACTCGATGACAGTGAGCTTGTTTTATGGGTCTGATGAATTGCGGAGAGGAATAAATGCATTTGGAAGAAGCATGGATGGATTTTCCCCCTTCCTACCAAGGAAACAAACAAACAAACCTACTGACATTTCTACGAGCGAGGGAGCGGTGTACTGCCCCCCACCCCGCAGGTTTGCCTCTCAGGATTGCAGGAGCCGAGTTCAAGGATCTGATGACTAGTTCCTTCATGAGTCAGTGAGGCAGAGATGATCTCAAATGGGCCCAGCTGGCCGAAATGTCAATCAAGCCCTCTGTTTAGGGTTTGCAACAAATGGTAAAAATGGTTTTTGTTGGAGGAACAAAACTCAGAGATGGAGTGTGCTCTTTGTGTATTTGGGTTCATCTTTGTTGCCAGTGTTGTTTTAGCAACACACATCTCGGCACCAGGTCGGATACTAATTGTAATTACTGAGATATTGTAAAGCGAGGGTTGGCCAATGACAACCTGCTGGCCACATGTCATCCGACCCTTGTTGTCAGCAACATTTGGGGGGGACACAGCCATGCTCATTGCACAAAAACTGTTCTGCTTTTGCCTCCAGGGTCGAGTAGTTGTGGCTCAGAGTCAAGGATTCACTCTCCAGCTGAGTTAGTTAATTGTGCCAGCCTGGCCGATAATCACATGTGGTGCTGGTTGAAAGGCGGAGGGATAAATGGGTGGTGAAGCCTCGCCTTTCTAGTTCTCAGGTCTCTTGTTTTGTGATGGTTGTATCGGGTGCAGCTGCCTTAGCAGTTCCCTGCTTCAGCTTGAAGATTGACTTCCTACAAGATATCCCCAAGGAGAAGCCACATGGACCTATCCCGATGCAGACCTGGGTGCTGGAGTAGCCGTGTGGAGACCCCTGCTAGTGCTGAGATGCTTACATGTTCACTGACTCAGCTTTCCTCCTGCAGTCGGCATTATTGCCTCTGTTTTATGAGGTGAAGGACTTTGTGGACTGGTGTTGGGTAAATGGGTTAATGTTGGACTTGTGGGCTTGGGCAGCATTGGGTTGGGATGTTTTCGTGATGCACATTTTCTTTACATAAAACTCTCTCTTATACGTGAGTCACCATGGATTTGTTTCTCCAAAGTACCCAGACTAATACACCAGCCCTTTCCCAAAGTATAGAAGAAAAAAGAAGCTGGCCTCTGTCCTCAAGCAGTAAGGAGTTTAGAGTCTAAAACTAGTACCAGCCCTTAGTCTTAGTGTCTAAAGCTCACCCACTGCCATTGAGTCAACCTCAATTTATAGCGACCTCCTGTGGATGTCTGAAACTAACTGTTTACACGAGTAGAAAGCCCAGTCTTTCTCCCACAGAACTGCCGGTGGTTTTGAACTGCCGACCATGTGGATCTCAGCCCAACGCATAACCCCTACACCACCAGGACTTCATGCAGTTGATCAAATAGTATAAATACACACTTAGTCTAAGGGATATCACAGAGAATAAAATAACTCAATATTATAAATATAAGTGAAGTAAAAATCCTTCCACTCCAGTGTACTACCATCTCTTTTCTCATGTCTGCTTGGGATGAATAAGCATGAACCATTAGCATTCACGTCCTCTGCCCAGTAGGCAGCGTTCAGCATCTCTGCAACTATCTCTCCCTGGGCACATCTTTTAAAAGAAGTTTCCCAGATGTTTCTGACATACAACCAGGGTTGAAAAATCATCAAACAAGAAAGCAGTAGTCCAGCTCAGGGGCTGCCTGTGAGAGGCCTTGATTGCAGCCAGCTGGCCCAGTCCAAAGTATTTCGAAGTCACTGTCCACGTGACTCCAGGAGCCTTGATGGTGTAGTGGGCTATGCCCTGATCTGCTAACCACAAGGTCAGCAGTTCGAACTCCCCAGCAACCTCTCTGAAGAAAGATAAGGTTCTGTCTGCTCCCTTAAAGATGTACCACCTCAGAAACCCAAAGGGGGAAGTTCTACACTGTCCTATAGGGCTGCTCTGAGTTGGACTTGGCTGGATCCACGTAACTCTAGAATTCAGCCAAGACCTTCCGTTCTAGTGAGTCTGACCCGGGACCTTCCCAACACAACAGAGGATGGCCAAGTATTTGCTCCTAGGCACATAGAACCATGTTGGCATTAGCCTGGCACAGGAAGTGGAAGGCCAGTGTAGACACTGCAATGGGAGATAACCATTCTCCTCAGTGGGATGCTTGAGTACGTCTATCAAGTCCCTCTTCTTGATATCAAATTGTCTAGCCAACAGTTTTCAAAGCGAAGGTTGCCTGGGGAGCGAAGAAGATGCGGAATCTGAACAAGTAGAGGCATCTTCCTAGCGGCATGTTGTGCCTTCATTTTAGAAAATGTCCAGAGTGCCACCTGCCCCACAAGGAGCTCTGGTGATGTAGTGGTTAGAGTTGGGTGACTAACCTCGAGGTCATCAGTTTGAAACCAGCAGCCACTCCTTGAGTGGAGAAAGATGAGGTTTTCAACTCCTGTAAAGAGTTACAGTCTCTGAAACTCGCAGGGACAGTTCTACCCTGCCCTGTAGGGTCCCTGTGAGTCAAAATCGATTTCCATGGCAGTGAATTTGGTCAACCTACCCCACAACAGAGACCGTGGTGCTAGGGACGGGAGCAGTCAGTGATCCAAGTAGTGCCACTTGGGCACAATTGATTGGAACCCCCTTTTTTCTGTGTGGATTCCTCATTCTCTTAGTGTGTGCCATCTGTGGTGTGACTGTCACGGGCGCTTTGGGGAGTGCCCTCCCTTCTCCTGTGCTGCTGCCCTGAGCAGACTGCCTCTTGGAGGAGTGAATGTCTCTAGCCTGCCTGAGTGGATGTTGTACTGCCACAAAGCCACTCCACGTTCTAGATGAATCTTCTTTAACTACCCACGGCCCTACCCCGGCTCGTCTCTTGCACTCAGATAATGAGGAGCCCAAGCACAGTGGAACAAAGTGAGGCCTGGTCTCATACCACCTCCAGGACTGCTTGCACATGGGGCAACTAGGATCCCCAGGGTGTACATGGGCTAGCCTTCAGACGACCACCGAGAAGCTCCACTGAAACATTTCAGCAACACTTGTGTCCACTGACACTGGGCCGGGCAGTGACTACCAACTGAGTCTAGGTCTCCTTCCTTCCTTGTGAATTCCACCACAGAGCTGTCAATGCTTCCAGTGGGGCCTTTAGG